TATTTGTATAATTATACATGTATATCTCATGGGTCTCATGCAGGTTATTAAAATGCAATTAACAAACCTTGTATTCAGTTTCATTAATAAGATTAGTAGAGGTGACAGAATTAAAAAATTCTCTTTCACCAAGCAATTTAGTCACTATCAAGATATTACTGATAGAGAAAGCAGGTTCTAACAATTAATTAGTTTTTAAAGGTACATGTACCACATGCGCTTTAACCCAGGAAGGCCACTGCAGTGATCTAAGCCACCCACAACAATGCAATTATGGTGCAATATGAGTTTATTATGATATCATTGTCTTGTTATTATAGGATGGAAATGATGCTCTTTTTGAAGCAGCAAGAGAAGGACATTATGACATTGTACAGTTGCTATTGAATAATGGAGCTGATCGAAGTGCTGCAACTGATGTGAGTATCATGTAATTAATGCACCATAAATATTTTTTATTCAAATTAAAATCAAATCCCAAATATTTACTGCTCACATTATTTCATTGGTAGCTAAGGATTTATTATATAGGCGGTAGCCTATATGTAGGATTGAGGTTGGTTTTTCAAGATTGCAGCTGTTTTTATGATTTTCAAACACTTATAACTCTTTTATCTTACGTTTTACAGCGTTATAAATGGCTTAGATGAGCTCTCCTTCACTGAACGATTTGATATAAACTGGTAATTATTTAAGCAAACAACCAACTCTCAACACTTGACAAGTGATAATCACATAAGATAAACTAAGAGAGCAAAGAGGAGCGAGAGAGAGAGAGAACCAGAACAAAGGAAGTGAACAGAACAAAAGAGCAATAAACTATATACAGTATAATACATGTGGTCAGTCTAGAATGTTCTGTGCATGTTACATAACTAGAGATAATTAAGTAAACCACAATAGATTAATAAGATGTATGCATAGCAATAATAATAAGCACTAAATTGTACATCTCCCATACTCCCTCTCAATTTATGTCTTATTAATTGCCTTTACGCCGGCCATTTTCCTCAACTTTTCAAACTGATCTCCATGTAGGCCTTTCGTCATCATGTCAGCAATCATATCGATTATACCATCCTTCACTTGATCCCTAATATAATGGTATTTTATGTCGATATGTTTACTTTGACCGTGATATTGAGGGTTCTTTGAGAGACAAATTGCTGACTGATTGTCCTCATACATTAGTATCATTTGTGGTGACTCCCTCTTAATCTCAGATAACAGCTGACGAATCCAAACTGCTTCTTGAGCTGTTGAGGATAGCGCCATATACTCCGCCTCTGATGTAGAAAGAGCAACACAAGTCTGTTTACAACTTCTCCAACTAACGAGTGCTCCTCCCACTAGAAAACCATATCCGGAGATGGATTTCTGATCGTCAAGATCTCCTACCCAGTCTGAGTTGGAGTACCCCAGACATTTCAGTGATTCCTCTTTTGTATAGAGTAGGCCATAGTTGATAGTACCTGCCAGATATCTGAAAATGTGCTTGACAGCTTTCCAGTGCTGTTCAGTAGGATTAGAAGTGTACTTAGCTACATTGCTAACAGCAAATGCTATATCTGGTCTGGTTCGAGTTGCTAGAAACAAAAGTTTTCCAACTGCTGATTGATATTTCTCTGAGTCAAATAGTGTAGACTCATCTGTAGCTTTACTGAGCTTAATACTCGGATTAACTCGTGATCTGACTGATTTGGAATCAGACATTCCAAACTGATGTAAAATACTCTCTGTGTAAGATGTTTGACCCATCCACACCATTCCTTTATCTAGATCTTGTTGTACTTTCACTCCTAGAAAGTATTGTACCGGTCCCATATCTTTGACATTGAATTGACTTCTTAACTCATCTTTAATTTCAGTTATTTGTTTAGTAGATCTTCCAGCTAATAGTATGTCATCCACATACACAGCAATTATCTCCAGTGATTGTCAAGGATCACCGACAGAAGATAACGCTGAGTGGTCTTTAGTTTTAAAAAGATATTTTTACTCAAAAACGAACAACAACAACTACAACAATCACACCATATATATATCCATCATACATCCCATACTCAGCACTCAGCTCCCCTTCTCTCATTGGTCAGTGATTCGTTAGTCTCTTCAAACGTTAACACCTGCTGAGGAAGTCTGCCTCTATGAGATATGTCTGGCACATTAGTTATTGTCCCATGGTGATCCATTACAGTGATAGAAATATATAGACACGGATCACTGTTTGATTGCACAAATCCCATCTTCTTTAGTTGTAAATCTAACATATAGTTCCAACAATGGGGGGATTGCTTGAGACCATAGATACTGCGTTTTAATCTGCATACTAACTCTTCTTTGCCTTTTTCTTCATACCCTTCAGGTTGTTTTATGTAGACTGTTTCTTTCAGCTCTCCATTTAAAAAGGCAGTTTTAACATCCATCTAATGCAATTGTAGATTATTCTGAGCAGCTAGAGCAGCAATCATCCTGAGAGACTCAAACCTAACAACAGGTGAAAAGGTCTCTTCGTAGTCAACTCCAGGTCGTTGGGAATAGCCCTGAGCTACCAATCTAGCTTTATATCTATCAATATTTCCAGTAGCTCCAATCTTGCATTTAAAGATCCATTTACTGCTCACGACTCTTTCATCTTTAGGAAGTTTCACCAGTTCCCATACATCATTAGACATAAGTGAGTTGTACTCTTCATCCATTGCTTTCTTCCATTTCTCACGATTCGAGGAGGTAAGAGCTTCATCAACTGTCTGTGGTTCTTGGATATGACTAGCTTGATTTATCCAGACACCATATTGATCAGGTCTTCTAGTTACTCTAGTTGAGTGTCTTACAGTTGACTCTAGCTCCTGTTCTGTCTCATTCTCTTCTTCGAGAGTTTCAGTCTCTTCATTCTCAGTGTTTGGCATCTCAACTTCTGTTGTGCTCTCATCTTCACTAGCATCAATGCTTACATAGGGAGTAGATTCATTCTCTGATCCATTCTGTTTATAGCCAGCAACTGTCTCATTAAAAATGACATCATGACTATAAATGACTCTCTGCTTTTGTAAGTCATACAGGCGATATGCTTTTCTGTTATCAGCGTAACCTAGTAAGATCAGCTTATGAGACTTTGAATCTAGCTTCTTTCTTTCATCCTTAGCTACATGACTATATGCTGCACAGCCAAATATGCGTAAGTGACTGACACTTGGCTTGATTCCATGCAGTAAGGGCTTCATAAGGAGTCATTCCTTCAACTGCTTTAGTTGGACAGCGACTACGTATATAGACTGCTGTACTAATAGCTTCTGCCCAGAAGGATTGAGGCAGCCTGGACCAGTCTAATATACAACAAACCATTTCTATGAGTGTTCTATTTAAGCGTTCTGCCACACCATTTTGCTGTGGGCACTTGGGAACAGTAACTTCATGTTTTATTCCCTGAGAAAGTAGATACTTTTCGAACTCATGTGAGGTGTACTCCCCACCATTATCTGTACGTAGAGCTTTTACGCTCTTCCCAGTAGATTTCTCTACTAAATGCTTCCACTCACAGAATTTATCAAAAACTTCACTCTTATTCTTAATTATATATACCTATACATATCGGGTCTTATCATCTGTGAAGGTTAAAAAATATTCTCTACCACTGAGCGACTTTGCATTAATCTTGCCACATACATCACTATGTATTAGCTCTAAGGCTTCTTTGCTTCTTCTCTGAGCATGTGAGGGATATGGATTCTTATGCTGCTTCCCAGCTATGCATGATTCACAAAACTGAATTTCCTTGGCTATCGAAAAATCAATTTTTGACTAACTTATCACGAGCAAGCTTTTGTAGATTCTTCATGCTCAAATGCCCGTATCGATAATGCCACAAATCTTCTCTAGTAAAGTTGGCATTATGTATAGCTGGATGAACTTCATGAGGCAATATGCTCAATTCATATAGACCTCCAACTCTGGTAGCAACTGTAACTACTTTATTACGAGTATCACGAATCACACAAGTATCATCGTTAAATTTGAATGAGATACCTTGCTTCGTTGCTTTCGACACACTTATTATATTATAAACAAAATTAGGAATGTACAACACATTAAACAATGAACATTTACGTGTGTGTTGACCATACTTCAGCGTACAACTACGGTACCTTCACCAACCGCTTCCAGTGTGTGACCGTCTCCCAGCTTCACATCGATCGATATTCTTCTTTAGTGGATACAGCTTGACGAATCAACTGCGATCACTACAGATGTGACAAGTGGCTCCAGAATCTAAAATCCATTTTCCATTCATTTTACTGGATGCTTCAGCCGTCAGAACATGATAGATTACTAGTCCAACGTCATCACTCTCAGAACTATCATCTGGTCGACGTTTGCTTGTAACACAGTTAGCAGACCTGTAATGATTCTTTGACCGACTGCTATAACTGCTACTATGATGACTTGACTTCGAACTAAGATCCTTTGATTCTCTCTGTTTATAGTCTCGTTGATAATGACCAAATCTCTTACAGTTATAACACCTTGGTCCTTTCTTCTTATGATGAGACGAATTCATTGCTCCTTCAGTCGAACTACTCTTGTTACCAGTACGATCCTTACTCTTTTGCTCTTCATACACCAGCTTCTTTATAACGGTGTCCATCAGACATTGCACATCTACTTAATAGTTCATTTACTTGTATTTACTTCTATTTTTAAAATAAAGTTTTTGTATTTACTTGTACTTAATGTCAAAAAATATTCTCTATTTTAGAAAACTTAATTCATGTATTTTACTTTTA